ACATCCTGACAAGAGGGCAGCACATCCGATCACCATGTGACTCTCAATATCCTTCTGAGACCTGGACGTGTCTCAGTGGACATGCCAGGGGCTGAGTCATCAAGCACAGACTCCTGTAGTGCCCAAGTGTTTCCAAAAGCACCCCAGTATGTGGTGTGATCACAGCCCCTCCACACGCCCACGTTAAGACTGATTTATTTCAGACAGAAATCGATAAACAAAAATCCCAATCTTCAGCACTTCAAGTACACTACAGATATTTTCTTTCTCATCCCAAGTATTTCTGAGGATTGATCTGTAGAAACCAAGCACACCATCTAAGACAGAGTCAACTTAATCTTGGGCAATCTGCACAAACCCCATGACTCTCAGAGGGCCATATACACTCCTAAGGGACCACGAGATGCTGTAATGTCTGCATCTCCATAGAAAACCCGAGTAATAACTCAGAATATTCACTCTTTGTTAATTCATTACTGTCATTGTGTTTGGTTTGAAAAATTGTCTCAAAGTGGTGAAATGAGAAACAACTTAATTTACTCAAAGCTGTAGATGGGAGAATCGACAATATAAAAGAATACAGAGCGTATGCTGCAATGGAAGTAATCTTGATTCATTGCTTAAGCTAAGAAAGATTCAGTTGTAGCAGATATCGGCAATGCACTACAAAAAAAACATTCTTTTTCTCTCTTCCTTTTCTTTCTTGCTCTTTTGCAGCTGGTCCCAGTGACTGCCTATCTCACTGTTCCTGTACTGGAGCTTTCTTGCGACACACTTGATTTCGAGACCTGCTTTGTTGCACGAACCAAGACTGAACATGTCTTCCTGTGTAACAGGAGTGGCTGCAGAAGTTACTGGACCGCTTTGCTAGGTATTGCACTTTTGAAATTTCCTTTCCTTTATTATATAGTTTCATTATTCAGTCTTTCTATTTAGTAAAACGACACGTACTCAGTTCATAGTCATATAACGACATTCACTCCAACATAATAGGTCTGTTTCTGGTCTCTCTTGCATGATTTTTATTTAAATTAGTGTATATCTCTACTGATTTCAGTGGTTATACCAGGTTTAACCGAAAGATTGATTCACAGCCATCACAGTGGATGTGCTTTGCTCATTTGTAATACAATCCTAGGAGATATCAAGAAGCAGCAAGACCACATGAGTCCAGTTGGAGTCAGAGCCTAATGAGGTTAACAACAGATGCGCTTCAAAGGAAAGTAAATCAAGGACTTATTATTCTACCACAAAGGCCATCGATCATTCCCTCTGATTAAAGGATGAAAATAGAAACTACCCACATGCACAGAAAACAGCTCGTGACAGTGCACTGCTCCCTGATTTATTAGTTGGCAAGCAAGGAGATACACTGTTTTCTTACATGTAGCTATACATATAAGGGGTCGTCCCCTTATACAAGGGGTATACAAGGGGTCGTCCACTGCTTGCTTTGATATTTGCCCTCTTCAATACAGATGAGCAGGAAAGGCTTAATGACCCAAGAATATTTTCTGTCTCCCCTGCTAATGGCATTTTGGAGGCACGTGAAGGAGACCTACCCACCAAGGACATTTTGCAGATCCACTTCACTGCAAGGTACAGTAAAGGTATAAAGAAATCCTGCTGTGTTCCCAGACAAACTCACATGTAAAGTGTGAGTAAGTACTGAGAGCAGAGAGACACTGCTCAGTTATTGTTTTACGAGGCTGCTCAGTTTTTCACTGCTAGCAATTCCTGCTCCTGTGCTGTCCAGTTGGTGCTTTTTCCATCTAACCATATTCCCTGCACTATTCCCACATCCAGGTTTTCTTTTGGAGTTATAACCCTGAATTTCAGACTGTAGACTTGACCCAGTTGAAAAGGAGCTCTCACAGCTGGGGCTTGACAGGCTGGCCAGGTACCACTTGATAAAAGCCCCTCGAGGCTTCTTTGGAGTAATGTCCTTGATAGAAGGCAAACCTCAGGGCTGCAAATCAGTGCAGAGCCACATAGGAACGTTGAGTCCTTTATGCGTCCAGCACTTTATTAGGACAGAGGAAGAAATGTGTCTGGAATAGTTCAAAATTCCAGTAAAAAACATCTGTTCATCTCACACAAAAGCACTATGCTTTTTCCTTTGCAAGTAGGCTCAGGGATCCTACGTGGCTTCTCCTTAGAATAACTTGTTGAATTCCTCTAATTCCATATATGCGTGCAGAGTACCTGCTGATAAAGCAAATAAAGCAAAGCAGCTTTCCAGTGCAGTGATGCAGTCTGTTCTCCCCTTGCTTAAATAGACCAGTTCAATGTTTAGTATAGGAGCCATGGTGATGGTTTAAAAACAACACACACACACACACACACACACACACACACACACACACACACACACACACACACACACACACACAAATGAATGCATTTTCTGCAGCCTCTTGTCCAAAACTTTTTCCACACAACAACAAAAGATAATGTGGGCTGCAGGCAGCTGATAGAAAAGCCCAGAAGAGGGCAAAGTTTGCTTATGAATGGCAGCAGCAATGCTTTGGATTTCTTTGACCTTCTCAGGGAGCTGCAACTCCCCTGGGGGAACTTAGTGACCTTACAAATGATTTTCCTTGCTGAGGTGGTCAGAGGTAAAACTCCAGCGAGATTCCCCTCCCTCCCACCTTCCCCTAAAAGTCAAGTAAGAAAGAGGTTCATTTAAGCCTGAGACACATGACATACAAGTCATCACATGGTGGCAGAAACTTTTGACTTCAGTAGGACAGTTTACACAAGTGACACCGCTGGGAGGGCAATGAACCCTGAACACAGTTGACAGGTAAGGTCCAAAAGCAAACTGCAGCTGATAAGAACTGTTGTTGTAACTGCTGCAGCCTGGAACAGGTTGTGAAGCCTCCACCACTGGAGCTAGCGAGAGCTCAGTGGGAGAGTCAGAGGCCTTGAGCAATCTGCTGGAGTTGGCCTGTGTTGCGCAGGGCTTGTGGCCAGAGACATCCAGAGGTTCCTGCCAGCCCCAAATCTTCCAGGTTGCCTTTGCCCAAAGCCTTTTCTGCTGCATGACAGCAGATGTATTAATCAGCATGCCAGAATCTAGCAGAAAGCAAAGATGTTGCTGTGTAGCAGCCAGCATTTTGGTTCAGCTCCAGGTGATGGATTTCCATCACTGCAGTGCTCAGAAACAGCACGGCACTAGTAAAATAATTATATGCAAGATGTGAGATGATTTTAATAAGCACCTCCCTAAGTCAGTGGTCTTCCCCCAGGGGAATTTTGTATTAGAAGGGAGACTGAAAGCTATCTGGTAGAAAATGCTCTTGCTTCAGGCCTTCACAAAAGCCAGCTCTTAGAGCCTGGGAGCTGCTTTAGGTGAACAGTCTCTAGAGTGCCGGGCTGGTTGCCAGAGGCAAATTGTGTTGTAAGGCCTCTGCTTACTGGAGAAAATAAATCCACACGTACTGTAAGCTTTTTGATGTTCATGTAAAACCAGAATTCAGCAGATTGATTATCCCTTGTCCTAATGGAGCAAACAGAAATTGAACATGCTTGTTGCAGGGAAGGACCTGTCGTGTCAAGGTCGTGCAGGTACCTGCTCCCAAATAATGCTAACCCCCAAAGGAATGGTGAATTTTATTTTTCATTTATGTTTTTTTTTTTTTTTTAAATGTCACAACTAGGGAGATGCTGCAGTTCTTTCAAACATGAAGTTAGTAATTCCACATCTTTTTACCTAAGTTAAATACTAGCTTTCTTTTAGCATATCCTCTGTGTTGCCCTTTTATTCCTCCACCACTATCTAGTCTCATCCTTAAAAAACTGTGGCCATCTGTAACTGAACCATCTTTTCCCATTGCATTTTAGGAGCAACATTGAGTATGAAGCTACTGTGACCATTACTGGAATGCTGGGAGAGAAGCCTTGCAAGTTACAGCTTAGGGGACAAGGGACAAATGATGAAAAGTATGAAGATCTGTATATGACTTAAGCACAACATTGTGGGGCAAATGTCAAGGTAATGGGTCAGATGTTGAAAGGTCATTAGGTGAGCTGGTATTTTGTCTACTTGTTTTTAAATATGAGATTTTATAGCATAAACTTTGCTGTTATGAAGAAGTTCACAGCACTTTGAAATAGTCACAATCTCATCCTATGCTATTATTTTTATATACCCACATACCCATACCCCTACCCTATATACCCCATACCCACAAAGCCAGCTCTACAGAATAATCAATTTAAAATTGTAAAGCAGCTATGCTGCCAGCAAGGCCATAGCCACTTTGCAGATGCTCCAATTTGAATCAAAAGACTATTGATACCTTAAAAAGAGCAGCTTTTCTTTTGGGCTGCTTCCCCTCACACCCATTTAAAGGGGTATTGATAAATAATAACAGCCAGAAACCCTGGCTAAGGCCAGCATTCCCCCTTAAATGGAAAGGGGGAATAGCAGCTTTCCCTAAACTGTGGAAAAGTCACCACTGTGCTTGTTTCCTCCTGCTTTGGTACTGCAACCAGTCCCCTCAGCTAGGTGAGGGGAGGATCCCATCTTGCTTTTACTTCTTTCCCCTCCTATCATTCTCCTTTGCTCACACTTCTCTCTAGCTGAAGTAATAATAAAGAAAAAAGAAGGGTCAGTGACATTCCCCCTTCTCAGACTGTTAAGTTTTCCATTCCACCCCAGTAAAAGACCTTTGTCAAAGGCAAGGGAGGGAAGGATGGGGCTAGCATCTGCAGCAAACACCTGATGATCATCAGCTGCCTTCAGCTGTGCCAGCAGCAAGAATTCATGTTGGCCAGAGGGATCTCGGGGTGGAAAATGGACCCTTGAGGCGGTAAAGGGTCTCTCTGCCCTACTCTAGGCAATTCCAACCTTTTGCTCTAAAACACAGCATGCACGAGTGCCAAGGGAGACTGGCTACACAATAGGAATATTTTATATTCCTGTAAGAATATAAAAGAGCTCTACTTACTCATAACCTTCAACTAACAACAATAACAGAAAGAATACAACTTAGTGCAAGAACATGATTGTATTTATTAAGTGCAAAACAAGAGCTAGGACAAAGTATTTCAGTCTGAGTTAAAATTTAAGCTTTTCTGACATGTCAGAGGCAATAAGTACATTTCTCTTTCAAGCATCTCACTCAGTTTTAATGATCTTTCTGCTCTTAAGGGAGAGAGAAGACAGATAGGGGAGAACATTACAGTATGCAACGTATACATTTGTACCGCATTGAAGCACTGAGCATGTTGCCGATGGTCACGTAGTGCTTGCAGCCTGTGATACGCTGAAGCCTGCTCCATGTTGGGTAATTAAATATCATTAAACGGAACCTTGTCTTCCAAGTTAAAAATCACACAACTTACACAAAAAAAAAAATGCTGTAAAAGATGGAAGGGCCAGTTTCAAATTCCTAGCTTCTAGCCCTTCAATCAAACCTTTTCTATTCTGGGACCTCAATCGCTTGTTTGACAAGAAAAGCCTGGCTTATGAATGTATTATTTGTTAGTCTTTCCATGTTGCCCCACTGGAGAGTTCACACCAGTTTTGTGAAAAGAAAAAAAAAAAGAGAATGCTAAAGCACAGCCCTCAGCATATGGACACCTGAAGACATAGCCAGCCTACAATTTGAGTAGAACAGTAATAAAGTAAAAGATGTTAGCCATCTTTGCACTGCTTACAAAAATAAGCCTTTCCAGAACTCTTACAAGATTGATTTATATAAAGATCTTTTTAAAAAAAAAAAAAAATCCTGGAAAAGCCATAAAATGGAAGTGGCAATGCACTAGGTGCCAATGGTAGAAAGTTTGTCAAACAAGGTGACTCTCTGATCATCTACCACTCTCTGGTAATATTCACAGAATAAAGGGATCAGGCAGATTAGAAATATTAATTCATAAGCATCACACCTAGGTCTAAGTTGAAGTTCAGGTGATCACATTTCCTTTCTCATGTTAGGATGCATTGCAACTCTGAAGCAAATGCCAGATCGAAACATTTTATTCTGCTTAATTTGTGGCTAAGATTTGTAGGTCTAGTAAAGAATCCCTGAATCCTCTTGATTTCACAGTGCAAATCATTCGCTATAACTAGAGAAGGCAGAGAATTAGGTGCTGCGTTGGGGCTTCAGTGCAGCGGAGTTTAGTTCCCCGGATACTCAAACACCGCTGCAGCTCCCATGCCAGTTCCCATGCACATGGATACAACACCGTAGGCTCTGAAACAGGAGAGAGAGACAGGTTAAGGTTTAGATTATCCACAGGGCAAAACATCCAGGGCATGTGAGCAAACCAAAGCTCTCCAGAGTCACTAAGAGGGTTTGTTTTAACTCCAGAGCAGTCCCAGCAAAGCGCATGAGCACACATTTACCTGCCTGCTGTCTCAACACACCAGAATCAAACACCACAAATTGATGGTTGCCTCTGAGCTGGTTACTTAAATATGCTTAAAATGGTTAGGTTATGTTTGAAGTGTTTAGGTTAAGGCTGTTCTTCAGGACTCACCTCTTCCCTCTGCGCTTCAACTCATTGAGCAAAGTGACAACTTGGCGAGTGCCGGTACAGCCCAGAGGGTGTCCCAGGGCTATGGCTCCTCCCAGGGGGTTGACTTTCTCCAAGGGAATGCCCAGCTTTTCAATGCAATACACAGCCTGAAAAGACACAGGGAATCATCTCACAGGGATTTTCTTGCTTCCCTGAGTTCTCAGCCTTGCTGAGAACACACTGCAGGGAACACTTGGTGGTGAGGGATGGCAAAGAGATGGGCAGACAACACTGCACAGGCCCAGGGGCTTCTCAAGATTTGTACTTGAGATTAACCTGAGCTAAGTTATGTCTTCCATTGCACAGAACCCAGGCTGTCAGATCAGCTGCTATGAAAACATTTAAGTTGTTTAAATATTACATAATTAATATATCAATCAGAAGAGAGGCTACCTCTTTCAGCAGGCCACGTTTCTAAGGGAAAACCATGGGGTTACATTGCATATCCAAGGCATATAACTGATAATGCCATCTCAGATTGAACCCACATACCTTCTGATGGGTATATTGTATTTTTTAAAAGGCATAGTGAAGCTTCTACCTTATTAAGCACCACCAAACTGAGGAGACTGCAGTACATTTCTATTGAAACCTCCCTACAACAAATTGCATCTCTTATGAAAGAGCAAATTTTGCAAGTTGGTATAAGGACACAATAGCAAAGATCTCATTCAGTGGACAAAGTTGTCCTTTAACAAATATTTTAAGCAACATCTTGCTTGTTTTTATTTTAAGAAAAATGGAAAATAATCTACATGTGTTATTAATGATTGACATAAAATAGGCGGAACAAGCTGAAACTGAGACCAAGCTTAAACATCCTCTGCTACCAAGCAATATACCAAGTTGAACAAGATGATCACTTACCTGGCTAGCAAAGGCTTCATTAATTTCATATATATCAATATCATTCAGAGTCAAACCTATGGTTCAGAAAAGTCAGCATTTAAAAGGAGGTATTTTTGCCTTAGGAGTGCATCAAAGAGCAATTCACTTCAAGCCTCCCTTCATGACATCTGGTTCTACTCCACTATTGACAAGAGGGCGACCTTCGCTCCGCGGGGCGTGCATTTTTATAAGCACGTGTGTGTACAAGGACTTCTAAAGACTGCAAGTCACCACATTCCTTGGTATCTGAGCTTGCCAAATTCCCTTAGATTAAAGGTGGTTTCTCCATAGAGGGATTAAAGATCAAGAGGGTATTTCGAGACAGAAAGATAAAACTGTAGCTGAGCACATGCCTGCTGTTGTGTCTGCCTGTTGTCACTATGGTCATGAGGTGTAAGAGCTCTTAAGGAGCTGGGAGGGCAGTAAGAACTCTAAGCAAAGTCTCATCCACTGGTCAGACCTCTCAGGTGTAACTTCTGACTAAGTAGAAAAGGGAACCCGAAGTGGTCTAAGCTGCAAGGATTCATCACTGGCAAGGCTGATTTGTTGGTAGGAATTCACAGAAAACCACCCTGCTCATATTAAGGAAAATGGCATCAAATGAGCTTTGAACTGCTTAACCTCGTGTTAATCATTTGTGGGGATCATGCAGGTGTTTTATTCTGGGCTTCCAGAAGTGAAGAAACAACAATTTCTACATCGGTACAAGTAAACAGTATCACAGTAATCCCTGGCAGGATCTCTTCTGGAGGTTTAAATCTAAGCTCCCTGTTCCTATTGCACATGGCTGCACCTCCTCAAGCTACACAATCCCAAATCTCCTTCCACAGCAGCTGCTTCACCATGTGCTGAACGGTGCAGATCAGCAGGTGGTTTCTCACCTGCCTTCTCCAGGGCCACCGGGATGGCGTAGGCTGGTCCGATGCCCATGACGTCCGGCGGGACTCCGACCACGGCGAAGGACTTGAGCACCCCCAGGATGGGCAGCCCCAGCTGGGCCGCCTTGGAGCGTTTCGCCAGGAGAACAGCGGCTGCTCCGTCACTGACCTGGCTGGCGTTACCTGTGGGGAGGGAGCTCTTAGTGCCTCCTTTGGTCAGCACATTTCAGCACAAGGACAGCAAGGAGCAGCACGAGCCATATGAGTCCAAGAGCCATATGAATCCATCTGACCTGCTGTGGTGCTGCCGTTCTCCTTGAAGGACGGCTTCAGCTTTGCCAAGCCTTCCAGGGTAGTAGAGGGCCTAATCCCTTCATCCTGGGACACAGTGATGGTTTTCCGATTGCCCTTGTCATCTACAACAGTGGTCTTCACTGGAACAATCTCGGCTTTAAACAGCCCCATCTGCTGAGCTCTTGCTGCTCTGTTGAAGACAAAAGTTTAAAGCAGTCTGAAGCCAGTCAGTGAGGACAGGAATTAAAGCGTAACCTTGCTTTACAGACACATCCCTGCCGAGGGGTATATGGGAAGATAATGTGAATAGTTACTTCCACTTAATATTAAGACAAACTTCTTATCTGTGCATCACAGGAGATATGACAAAGGGGAATCTCCTCAAGCCCAGGTGGCAGGACCACGTGCTGCTGAGGGGGATGGCAGCAGTTTCCCCAGCACCTCTGACCCTGCTGACCAGCACCTGCACACAGCCATGAGCTGCACTTGCCTCGTGGTGCAGGCACATCACAACCAGAGGAAAAGGAGTAAATCCTGACATTCACAAATCAATTCTTAAGAGTTTAAAATAGAGCAAGTCCTTTAGGGCTCTATAAACACAGCCCACTGCCAAGAAGTTAAAGAATGGCTGAGGTTTCATTCCCGCTTTTGACCTATTAAGAACAAGTTGAACTTTAGACTCTGGGTTGTAGGTGCTGTCTGGCATCTAAATGTCACCTTTCAACTCAAAATGATTCCAACTTATCGTGCAAAGTTTATGTGACCACATAGCAGGGAGTCCCTTCCTTCAGCAATAAAGGTGCTGAATGGGTCACAGTGACAGAAGGAAAGGGTCACAGCAACAGAAACACTGCAGGAAGGAACAAGGGACATAAGGAAGAACGCCATTAGCCGAACTAGAATCAATTTAGGAAACAGATTTAATTCTTACAGGAATAAAAGACTTAAATTTTATATCAACAATGTATGTAAAACCTGCCACTGAAGAGCTGATATAGAAGATGACACCTCCCAGCAGCACAGCACCCTTCATAGAGAAGGGAAGTGGGATTTGCAACTTGTTTCACTCCTCCATTGATTTACACATTAATTCATAAAATGAAAATAATACTCCCAGGTAAATGAAATTAAGGACAGATCAGCAACACTAGAGAGATCCTGAGACTGAGGCCAGAAAAATGACTCCTTTCCTTAGGAGAGGTGAGGACCACATTCACATGCCCTTTTGTGTTATCAGCTCAATGTCAGTGAGAAAGGCTGGCAGGCCAAGTTCCCTAGAAACAGGGCCAGAATTTAAAGGTTAACTGGCCTGTGCAGTGGCTTCCTGTATAAGATAAATAATTGGACTGTGACAATGCAAAAACAGACCTCTGAAAGTTAATTTAACTCTTTGATGCCAGCAACTTCCATGTCTTCTCTGCTAATGGACTTGCCAATGCATTTCCACAGATTCAAAGGACAGTTTACTTTGGCAGCAGTTTTACCCAAAAGGAACGTTATTAGGGGTAGAATTGGGCTCACCTGAAGCCAAGCACCTGCAGCAAAAACAAGAAACTCTTCTCAAACCCAGCAGTTCCTTAGAAATGGTCGCTTTCAAATATACCCTTTTAGGAAAACTTCCTAAACCTTTATACTTTAAACAAAAGATGAAAAGGAAAAAAAAAAAAGTATTTACTTTTGTTGGGAAGTCAAGGCAAAGGCATCTTGCTTCTTTCGGGAAATTCCAAACTTCTCTGCCACATTTTCTGAGGTTATCCTGGGGAAAACATCACAGAATTAGTCCAATGACATATCCAGTGGAACTGCAATCAGCTTCTACGAAGACACAAGACACACACGAGCAGCAGCTTCATTCCTGAACCGCTGCCTTCTCAGTGCAGACGTGGGCGGCCGAGACTAACCCTGGTTCAACTCCACCACCAGGGCAGGGTTCAAACCCACCCTCCCATCACACGGGGGACTCCCCTGGGGGCCCCCATTCTTGTCAGAGTGCCATAAAGTCAAGGGTGTTGCGGGCAGGACGAGCGTGTGAGAGGGAAGTTCAAGGCAGCCCTTTCCTCCACCTCTATCACTGCACATAGCAGCAGTGCGCTTATTTATGGAGAGCTGGCTGCTGCTTTATATCACAGAATGGCTGAGGTTCGAAGGGACCCCTACAGACCATCTAGTCCAACCCCCTGCTCCAGCAGGGTCACCCAGAGCACAGGGTGGCATCCAGGTGGGTTTGGAAGGTCTCCAGAGAAGGAGACTCCACCACATCCCTGGGCAGCCTGTGCCAGGGCTCTGGCACCCTCACAGTAAGGAAATTCTTCCTCAAATGGAGATGAAAGTTCACATTATGAAGCTCAACAGCATTTGCAGACATCCTCGTCACACAGTTATTTGCCGTCTTAAGCCATTAAGCTTCTCAATAAGACAAGGACACACTCGTCAGAACAGACAATTTTCACTTCACACAGTGAGTCTTTCACTACAGGGAAGATGCCAACACGTACAGATCTAAACTCACCGCATCCACAGGCTGATCCATTTAAAAGAGAACAGTTCCTGAAGAGACAGGGATAACCCCTAAACTTTGGGAAGGGGAAACACTCACCCCATAGGAATAAGGCAATCGCGAGCTTTGCTGTTTTCCATCGAACGGGAACTGATATCTCCAGGGTTGTTTCCACTTCTGAGAGACATTGATTCCACGCTAGACACAGAGGAATAATTTGAATTTGCTAACACTACTTCCACGCCACACTTGCAATAATTATTCACTAGATGAAAATTCAGTACCTCGACGACATTATTATCTCTTGCTCTACAGAAATGTAGACAGCAATTAAAACCTGGCTCAGGCACAAGCTCCTCCATCATCAATATAAATATTAATAGGAAATGAAAAAAGATTGCTAGATTAAATTGTTCCTTGCTTTACTAGAACAGGATACCGTTGTCGACAGTTAATTCCTTGTGTTTCTACAGCCTAGGAAGGAATCACTAACCATTCTGGCAGGCTGGTGTCCAAATGTAATAAGAAGCCTAAGGCTCTTGGGCTGGAGTTTCCAGTAAAATCAGTGACAGTAAAAAGATGCCAGTTACAGCTTAAAAGCTGCTTGGCAGTATATTAATGTAAGTGTTACACAAAGCAGAGAAAAAAACAGCAGCTTAGTGAGTTATGTCATTTCTATTTTGCAACAGAAAGAATTTGAGCTCTCAGAGGCTGCAGCCTTTGGCCTGCAAATGAATTAACATATTCAATATAAACAAAGATTTGCTACACAAACATGGATCTATCACTTCACATTAGTGAAGCTTTGGTAAATTCAGAGTAGACCAAGAAATCCAGGTCAGAAGATGAGTTCACTTATACTCTGCACCACTCATAGGTATGTTAATACAGAAAAAAAATCATCAACATAGCGAAGATATTCCTGGAAAATGCGTGACAATAAGGTTTTGCAAGCAAAATAAACAGCTGCCAGCAGATACCAACTCTAACACAGGGCACTGCATTGCTCGAGTTCTATCTGTTCCCAGGTGCAAGGTAGAGAACCAGGTGCTAACTTAGATCTAACCTCAGCTAAGGTGTTTTGAGCTGGAAGTCATGCAATGTCTGCATATACAGAGGACAAGCAAGTCTGCTCAGGTTGGGAGCATAATTTGGCATTAAAAAAACCCTCACAAAAAATATTTGTAGCATTTTAGGTTTTCAAGGAACAAGGAACTATTGTAACTGCATAACCAACACATCTTGAAGTGCATCGTTTTGGTGGATACTGCCAAGCAATTTTTTGCACCTAGGAAGCTAATGGAAGACTGAAAAGCATCATTCAGTCAACCAGAACTGACCCCCTGAACACCACGTGCTCAGCAGGCACCACAGAAACCTGCCTGTCTGGCTGGCTGAGCCATTTATTTCATAACAGTCTAAGAGGGAAAAGGGATTCTTAACAATGGATCTCTCAGGTGTGTGCAGTCTTGAGTGTGTTGTAAAGAGGTTTTTCTAAAAAGTGCATGTGACTGAGTGTGGGAATAATCCAGGAAAGACACTGAGGCAAAGAAAATGCGAAACCAACTATTTTCGTCTCAGGATTACCAAGCACCTTTCTTTAACTCAGTCTTCTGAGGCAAAAGTGCATGCGTTCACCAGTGTTTCCCTAAATCCAAATTAATGTCTATATCATCCTCTGAAGTACATATTTTTTTAATCATTGATGGAAGCATTCCCATTTATGGCAGCAGAATTATCTCCTGCAAGACTGTGGAAGAGTTATTAGCATGAACTGGCCATTTATTTCTTTGTCCAAGAAAGGTCCTGGTATTCTTAAGTTAATAGGAAGTTAATTGAAATGCTAATTACAGGGTTCTTTCAGGCTGCGAGGGCTCTGCATACAAATGGCATCCTACAGCAGGGAGATATTTAATAGGATAAAAACAGGGGTTGCATGCTTGCAAGAGATGATTAAGCCAAGGCCAAGATCGATCAGTCTATAATTGCAAACCAGAGAGCTAAAGGATTTTCAAGTATCCTCCCTCAGACTCCTCAGGATGACTAAATTCCCTAAAAAGTACTAAGAAACATGTAGAAATATACATATATTCCCACATCCTTATGACTTAAGTTCAGTCCCTAATTTTGTAGCTAATTTAGTTAAAGGACTATATCCTAGGGGAGTGGGTTCAAGAGGGGCAGGAGGACAGAAACCTCCCTGGAAGGGATTTCTAATTCCTCATACAAAAGCTGACACAGCAGGATACTACTTCAGGATACTTCTTCCTTTCAAGAAGCCTAAGTAAGGGCCATAAAAAGATGATCTTACCCACAGGCCAAGCCAATGTCATATGCCCCATTTCGGATGCCACCTGCAACAGAATTGCAGAAGCATTTTTACTATCATTAGAAATAAAAGCACTTTCCTTCCAGCTGCAGTTTCAGCGACACCTGATGCACAAGGTGAAGTCAAAGGAGCCTTTGCTCCTCACTCCCATCTGCTGGGACATGAGCCAGGGCTAGGGACTGATCCAGCTAATTCTGTCCTAATGTGCAAACAGAGAGGATGGGACAGGCCCTACGAAGGAGCTGCCCAATGGGTACAACTCATCCTCAGAGAAATCCAGGTTACTTGGATAGTGCAAAGTCTTTCTTTTTGGATAAATTGCAGAGGAAACCATTATGAGCTTATATTACATATTTTAGCTACCATCTTGACAGGATATTACGAGTTGCTCTTAATAGAGAGGTTCCTTCTGGTTTCGAGGATATAAACATGTTCAACCAAAACCACACTGAAGATTTGTAACAGAAGAAATTTTCACTATTTTTATTGCTCAGAGAGACTGGAGGCCAAACCTCCACCAGAAGTGCTGCTGGGGACAGTGAATTTGAGTGTCTATAACGCTTAATATCCACTTACCAGCTATATTGATAAGAGCCTGCAGTCCCGAGGAGCACTGCCTGCTAACACCTGAGCAGGGCACAGTCTCCGGGATACCACTGGAAGAGATGACAGCGTTGGCAAAGGCTCAGGAACAAAAACTGCACAACAAGCTGCATATCTAAGGAGAACGTTAAGCCACTCTACTAAACTTTAACCCCGAGATTTAGGCAAAGGCGAACAATCTCATTTGACCTACTTGATCTTGCACCAAGTGGAAGTAAAGGTCATGTAACTTGCAAATTTTATTTGCAAGTGGATTAATGTGCTGTTTCCCTACAGGACCATCTTCAGCACAATTGTGCTCTGTGAGCAGCTCCCCTTTTCATGTCTAGATCCCAAACTAGGTAAGAGCTCTAAGTGGTAGCTTCAACTAATAAAGCTGAAAGATCCTGCAGCGTTCACACTCTCTCTGCACCCCTCTGCACCCTCATAATTTACCAGAGGGCAACGTCACTCAGAAATATGAGCTGGTTCAAATATTTAAAAGCTGGACCTAAGTGCAGACAAAGCTACCACTCTGCACTCTGGGATGGGTAGCAAGGAGAAAGAGCCGAGAATTCCTTCATTTTGGTTGGCTCCACGCAGGCCTGAGTGTGGTAGAGAAGAGCAGGTTCAGATACAGGCCTAAAGATGAAAGCTCCTGCTCAGAGAGATGGTGCAGGCAGAGGGATCCACCTCAACTCTGCCCTGCTGGGAAGGCTGCCAGGAGCGAGCGCCGTGTTTGTTCCTCACCTCAGCTGCTGGCCCTTGCCATACGGATGAGGAGATTAGGGGAGCAATCCAATAAGCACGCGGAGCAATGTTTGTTTGGAAGGGGAATCAGCTCCCCTCCAGACTGCAAGCCCTGCTTCTCCCTTCAAGGATCTATGAACCCTCGATCCAAGTCTTAATTTCTAGGCAAAAGGTGATTAGCCTTAGCTTCCTAGGAGTGCCTTGTTGCAGCCTCTGGCCCAGTGCTGCTCCACAGCCAAGGCCAGGGGAGACGAGAAGGAGCCTCAACCTGGCACGGGGGTTACCTGAGGAACTGTGCAATTCTCACGGTCAAGGCGCCAGCTCCAGGCTGCAGCACGTTCCCTGGGTGCAAAGACACAGCTCCAGTCAATCAGCTGCATTTCCCCATATTTCATCTGGTGTGGATGTTCACGGAATGTTAACACCACCACGGGCTGCTATTATCCAATATCTAGCTCACAGCCTGACCACTTAACAGAAGAGCTATAAAGGATGCACCGATTTCTTAAGCCTAAGGCTACACAGGGACCCTTCACAAAGCCCAACCACCCACTTGGTCTCCTACGGGACACAAGGGCCCGCTTGTCCCAGGGGGCTTCCCACAGAGGAATAACTTGGATTGGCTCACGCTACTTCCATACTGCATTTGCAGTAACCATTTGCCCCAGCCTGGTGTTTTGGGAAGGGGCAGAACCGGTTCCCTCACCCACGCAGATGTCGCCCAGGGCCTCGGCGGGAAGGTCGAGGTCCTGCAGCACGGCGCTCATGACGGCGGAGAGCAGCTCATCGGGCGTCGTGTCCTAGAGCACAGGGCAGCGCTGGCACCTGAGGGGCACCGGGGACATCGGGGACACCCCCGTCTGCACCAGGTCCTTCGGGAGCCCCGTCACACCAGCTGCTCTCCCACCTCGATGGGGCTTCCAAGACACCTTCCAGGGCATTCACAGCCCAACAGGTTTATTAATTAATACATGGCAGGGATTTAATAAGGCAGAGCCTCCAGACGCACCAGCCTCAGTGAGGGGACCTGCTTCCCGCCAAGCCGGGGGCTCCAGATGAGCGGATTCAGGGATTCCGGCCACACAGGCCTGGAAGGGGCTGCTGCCCAGGGCCCGGAGCGGGAAAGGGGGCTCAGCACCCAAGGGGGAGCCCCAGAGCAGGCCCAGGGGGCACCCCAGCACTTCAGAGCACCCCAGCACCCAGGTGGCAACATGTTTGGGGTGCCAGTACCTTGGGGGAAGCTCAGCAACCTAGTTGGGAGCAGGGGGATCCAAGAGCAGGGTGGGGGGCACACAGGGGAGGGGGCTCAGCACCCCAAAAAGGGCCAGTTACAGGGACCCAACACTGTGGGGAAGGCAGTTGGGGGGAACAGCCTAGGCGGGGATGGTTGAGAGGCTCCTAGCACCAGGGAGGGGGACACAGCCCGGGAGGGGATCTGGGGGTGCGCGCGGGGCCCCCCCCGGCCGTACCTTGAAGCCTCCGCGCTTGGAGCGCCCGATGGCCGTCCGGCGCCCGTGCACCACCACCACGTCGTCGGCATTGCCGGCGGCGGGCGCCGCGTAGGCAGCGCACGGCGCGGCCTGCAGCCCCGCGGGGGGCCCGGCCAGGTGGCCCAGCACGACCTGCACCCTGCGCATGGCGCCGCGCTGCGCCCGCCGCGCCGCCATGGCCCGCTAAAACGGGGCGGGGCGGGGCCGCCGCGGGGCACGCCCCTCATCTGCATGCGGCACGCCCCTCATCTGCGTGCGACACGCCCCTCATCTGCGTGCGGCACGCCCCCCTCCGCCCCCGGGCACGCCCCCTCACCTCAGCGAAGCGTCGCGCCGTAAGGGGCGGGTTCGGCCGCCACCCTCCCCGCCCCCCGGGTGGAGGGCCCGCGGGTTCGCGTCCCGGCCGCGGCGTTAGCCCTTTAGCCCCGATTTTGAGCCCTTTCTACACGTTTGGACTTTGAGCTGAAATCTTGGACGCGGATTCAACCCTTGGCCACCCATCCCAAATCCCACGTACATCTTTCCCCCACCCTAACCCTCAAAATCCAGCCCCAACGCCCCTGTCTGCCCCTCAGCCCACACCTCTCCATGCCCACCATGGCGCACGCGGGACAAAGCCACACACAGAGCCTGCGTCCCCGAGAACTGCACAGATTCATTATTTCTGCTCCAGGCCCGTCATCATTAGCTTAATTTCATCTGTGTCCCCCTCCCTCCCCGTCCTGCCACGCGCGGTCACACAAGGCCGTGCTGCCGGCCCGGTCGCACGCCGTAAGGAAACGTTCTTCTTTAACAAAACAAAAATTTACATGGCGTAATATTACATTCTCCTGCCCTAGTTTTCACTTTGTACATCAGAACACTGCGAGGGTTTTCTTTTAAAAAAAAAAAAGAAAAAAAAGAAATAATAATAAAATGCAAAGGCACCTGAGGAGCGAATCGCACACACACGCACACGCACACATGGCTGAAAGGAGCCCCGGAGAGCTGACGACACGGACGGATTTGGTCCTTCGATATCCCTCTTTGTGGGATACCCTTTCGCATTTCCTCCCGGAATGGTCCGCTTTGACCCACTGGCACTAAAATCCATCCCTGATTTCCCCAAAATTGGGTCCTGCTGATAACTGCCCCCCTGCCAGGTTTATAGAGAAATTTGCAGGGTACATTTGCTCCTCACTAATGCTGCCACTGTTGCTTTTCTTCCACTGAAATAACTCTAAGTAACCTGAGTAGAGACTTCTTCCTTCCTTCCTTTTTTTTTTTTTTCCATTCGCTGCCCAAGGAAACGCTCCCAACGCTTCCCCAGCAACACGAAGGCCGATTGCTTCCGCACGGGAGAATTCGAGGATGTGCAAAACCACAGCGCCGACCCTGCACTCCGCTTCCCCTCCCTCCCAAGCAACACTTTTCACTTTCATTGGAAAAATAAACCTGTGCTTGCTGTCCGGAGCTGCTGACACCCTGCTAAGTGCTTATTTAACCCCTACCGAGCCGCCTGGAAACAGCTAAGGCAGCAAGGAAGAGGGAAACGGGACCATGCAATTAATTTGTCCTAAATGAGCAAGACCTAATGAAACAACTTGCTTGCAGGACATGCCTTCCAGCTCAACTTACTCCTAGCTTCTTAGTGTCAGGTTCACGTTGGCCAAAGGGCCTTCGAGCCCAGCCATGCGTTGACCTTGGCTGGTTCCCCGCTGTATAAACCAGGGCAATGTTTGGATGTTTAGAGCTACCCTCAACTGAGGCATCTCCAAGGTCCCGTTTTGGGGCTGGATGGAGTTTGTCCCCGATGCATCGCCCTGGCCCAGCTACGTTCCTCCCCATAACCCTGTTCCTACAACCTATCTACAACACCCAGGGCTGGGGTATCAGCACTAGGATGATGAGTTGCCCCTCCCTCCCCCCTGGTTTCCATGGGGAAAGGTTGAAGAATCTTGTGCTCAGCTCCGCGCGGCGCTGGCATCAACATCATTTGAGCATCATTACCCACCGCACACCGGAGATCCTCAGGAACCGTCAGCAGCCGTACCCTAGGGAGACTTCCCCCGTCCCGAGAAGAACCCCTCTTTCAGACTGTTACACACACACACACGTACACACACACACACATACACACATAGCAACAGGCAAAGTCAACTCGGCTGCTGTGTCATCGCGCCCTACTCTGTAGGTCGGGCCGAGTCGAGCATCACTCCTTGATTGTAACCGCTTAAGGCACAGAGCAGTATTAAAGAGCAGCCCCCTTGGAGATGCTGGCCAGACTGCCAACCTCTCGCTGTCTCCAGGAGGACGGTTCCCCTTCCCCTTCTCGACGGGGAACACCCCCCGGCTCCAGGTCTGAGGATTATGTCCTCCAGCGTGGCTGATGCCCGCGTCGCCATGGAGCATCTCCCTCCTCCGCTCCTGGGGATGCTGTCAGCGTCGCTGTAGCGCCGGAGGTGACATCCCATTGGCCTCACGTTCCCCTGGGATGAGTATCATGGCAAACGGGGAAGCTCCCAGCACCCATTGACAGCAAAGTGACTTGGTGTGAGACAGATGGGGGCAACAAGGGGACTCCGCCGTCCTGAATCGCCGGCGGCCAGTGGTGGCCACTGTCTCCAGGCTCCGATGGTCCCAAGCGCAGCTTCGAAATCAACCACCGCAGCGGCCACTGAGCTGAGGACAAGGCGGGCTGGGAGCCGCGGGGCCGCCGCGAGCAGCGGCCCAGGGTCTGGTGGGTCTGGGGCCGTGGCGCCGGTGGCTGCCCCCGTCCCCGCTGCCACGGGGCTAGAGCCCGCAGTTGACGAAGGGGTGTCGCAGCAGGTCCTCGGCCGTGGGCCGCCGCTTCTCCTCCACAAAGACCTGCTTGAGGAAGTTGCGGCAGCAGCTGGAGACGCCGTCGGGGAGCTGGGGGTTGGTCGGCTGCGTCGCGATTTTGAAAATGGCCGCCATGGCCTCGAACTCTGCCCACGGCGGCTTCTCCGTTAGCATCTCCACCACGGTGCAGGCCACGCTCCTGCAAGGAGGCCACGCATGCAGCGAGTGAGACAAAAAGCAATCGATGTGGCTGCTGCAGCCCTGAACCACGGTCTGGGTGGTTTCTTAAGGAAAACTGAACTTCAGGGCCCGAAGAACTTCCCTTCTTGGAATGGGCTTTGCCCCAGCGCAGGACCCCTCGAACCTCATGGTGCAGACAAGCCTTTTGCACAGAGCTCTCTGCTCCACTTGGCAAGAGCAAGGTCCTGGTTTTCTGCCCATATTTACTGGCAAGCATCTTTCTATCTGCATGCACGTGTTTTATCCTTGTTTCCTAAGGGTAGAGGCTCACCTGTTCTTAGCTGATGACCCAGTAACATCAGAGTTCATGGACCCGTGTTGGACAAGTCTGACAGATAACTAAGTTTCATAAAAAGGTGCAGTTGGGAGCACACAAGAACTTGTCAGAACCTCCCCAGACAGCAGTTCAGATGCCACGGTTTGAGTAATAGGTAATATGTCAGAGCCATGTTGTGAAAAAATCGAGTGGCAGAGTTTGAGAGCCTGCCAAGGTCCCACTGAACCTCAGAGCCAGATTTAACAAGTCCCCCAAATCAGGAGCACCAAAATTCAACAGCTCTTTTGGCAAACTTTGTCTCATTCTGCTTTGCAGAATTAAACAGCAGCCAGAGGGTTGATTTGCACATGGTCCACACACATGGTGAGGCCTCCCAAAGCAAGCTGTGATTTGGGAGACATCCTGCTTTGGGACATCCATGGAAGACAAAGTCCCTCTGGATATCTGCATGGGAGATCCTAACATTCAGCTCCCATTTCTGCCCATGCACTGCTCTGTCTTCAAGATGTTAGTCACGCTAGTTGCTCCCATTGCATCTTCCCCAAAGGATCACTGATTAAAATCAGCAGTGGTGGGAGTTTTTTGCCATATTCCTTACCACACATCAGCTTTCCTTCCGTAGCCTTCTCCACTGATAACCTCTGGGCTCATCCAGTATGGTGTTCCTGTGACAGATTTAATCCCCGTCCCAGACATGCAGATGGTCTGGATCCGTTTGCTGGCTCCAAAATCTCCTAGTTTCACATTTCCTGCAGAATCTCTCAAAATATTGGCACCTAGAGGTAAAAGGCAAGAAAAATTCCAAGATGAAGCACTGAGAGAGCCCAAAGGGTCTTGCTCAGCTGGCTTAATGTGAGAACCCTCTATCCCAACGCTGTTCCTTTTGGAGAGGCCTGACTCCCACCTGTCCTCCTGGATAATCCACTCCCACTCCAAAGGTGATCCCTGGATAGGAGGTGAGCAGTGATCCTCACCATGCATCAGGACACAAACAGAGGCTCATTCCTCAGATCACCAGTGCCTCAGTTCTTGGGCTAGAACTTTAGAGGTATAGAGGCCTGATGTCTGTAAGCACAATTAATGACAATTCCTATTAAAGTTCTTAATATAGACATGTTTTTTGTTTGTTTGTTTTCATCTTTGGTATTCAACATTCTCATAGCTCAAGCAACTTGACGAACGCAAGAGGCAAAGCCAAGAGAAAACAACTGTGACTCCAGGATCCCAGTGCTCTATTCTGCACGTCGGGTTTCATACAAGGAAGGGAAGGAGCTAACAAATCCAGGTAAGCACGAAGGCTCCCTACATTATCTCCTCACCTTTAATGTCTCTGTGGACAATCATGTTGCTGTGCAAGTAGAAGACTCCCTGCAGGATCTGCCTGGTGTACTTCCGTGTGACGTTCTCGGTCAGAGCACCGTAAGCTTTGAGCTGATCCTTTATTGAGCCCTGTTCCAAGGAAACAAAATGCACCAACTGTAAGGACCAGCAGAACTAGCTGCATCATTGCACATTGCTTTAATTTTAAGCTTTCCTGTTATTTCCCATCCCATAAAAAAAGACAAAAGTTCTGCTGAAGAAATGGCAAAACAGACCCTCCACTGGACGCTGAATGAAACTTGTCTCTCATGTACCAGATGCCAGCAGAGAAAGACCAAGCACCCATATCCAATGGACATCCAATGGGTATGGGTGCTACCCTCTGCCAACAGCACAGATCTTTTTCCCCCTCTAGTGGCTGAACCTTATCAAGAGCCACTGGGGAAGGCGCAAGTTGATGAGGGGCTACCACCCACGGTGAGAAGGTTCCTCAGGGCTCAGCTGATGGTTGTCTTCTATGAAGCCTTTCCCTCAGCAG